CCTCGTCGTCACGCGCGTATGTCACACACACAACACACACACACACACACACACACACACACACACACACACACACACACACACACACACACACACACACACACACACACACACACACACACACACACACAGTGATGAGGAGCTGTGCTGCTGAATTATTCAGTAGAGCCAAAGAGAGAAAGTTTCTGAAACTAAACCACGGTTCTGGCCCAGAAAGATGTGTGTGACTCTGCAGGAGCAGCAGAGGTGAGCCGTGTGCAGCACAACTGACAAGCATTAGGCACACACCATGTCAATGACAGCTAACAAAAACATATAGGATTATATCCTAAAAATAGTGTGGACTGACGCTAACGCATGTGTTGTTAGTCAAACAATATATACTGTATGTTTCTGGTGTCAATAAAGTAGCTTGGAATATAAGGAACAGATACTAAACAGATATTAAAAATGTAATGTCTTTGTCAGATTTGCCCTGACTACTGAATTAGGTGATTCCATTTCCAACTATAGGGAAGCTGATTTAAACTTGTTCTTATATGTCATTATGACACTGTCGAAAAATGTAACGACTTATTGCTTACATTTCTATTTAAATGTAAAATAGTAAGTGTATATAATGGTGTCTAATTCAAACCCTACTGTATATATACTGTAAGGCTACTTTCCCCACAGCCATTTGGTGTTTTGATTATGGATCTTGCCAGGGAATCTGTCAGAAGGGATGAAAACGTTTGAAATCCAAATGTCTTGCGCTGCCACTAGATGCTGCTAAAATGTAAATAGGGCTATTGAAAATCGAGTAACAAAGAGAGGATCCTCCCCTTATTATTGCCTGTGAAACATACAAATAGACCCAGCATGCTGGCCTCCTACCTCCAGACAGTCCTGCAGAAACCTCTGCAGCTCCCACTGGTCGTTCATCTTCTCCAGCCACTGCTGGGCATGCTCTCTGTTCTGGTTTCCCCTGAAAGAGAGAGGAACAGAACATTAAGTTATAAGTCACAATATCTATCTTTGTTCATCTTTACACCTCCTTTCCCTAGTGAATATTCCTAACATGTAAGTGATTTATTACAGCACCACAAACTTTTAAATAATTATGTTGCACCGTGCTCGAGTTAATTCATGTAAATGAAATCCAAAAAACCATATGGTTCTTTGCATTGCTATTGTTTGACACATGCATACACAGAACCCCCACACACACACACACACACACACACACACACACACACACACACACACACACACAGTGTTTTCATACGCTTTCTTCCAGGCTTTCCTTACATTAAAATAGATTGCCTATGTCATGTTCTCAACCATAATAAACAACATTTTATAGCTCATTTGAAAATGGAG